CACAGATGCAGGCTGGGGGAGAACTGGCTTGGCAGCGGCACTGCTGAGAAGGAGCTGAAATTTGTGGTGGGTCATAACATGTATGAGTCAATAAAGCGATGCTGTTGCAAAATAAGCCAATGCAGTTTCAGGCTGCATTAACCTGGTTAGGCCTCAGCTGGAGTACTGTGTCCAGTATTGGTCAAAACGTATAGAAAGGGTGGAGAGAAACTGGAAAGGGTCCCAAGGCAGGTGACAATGACAATCCAAGGGCTGAAATGCAGCCAGACAAGCAAAGGCTGAAGGAACTGAGTATGTGTCATTTGGAAAAGGGGAGATGAAGGGTGAATAAAATAGTGGGCTTCAAATACTTGAAAGGCTGCCATAAAAATAAGGAGAAAAATTGTTCGCTCATGTCACAGAGGGTAGGACGAGAGGCAGAAGATTTAGATGAAACCTCAGAAAAAAACTAAGCACAGCAGGACAATGGAATACTTGCTTCTGAGGTTAGGGAAGCTCCTTCACTGGAGATTTTCAAAAGGAGACTGGAACCGTCGGTCCTGGATGGTTTAGACACAACAAATCCTGCATGTGGACAAGGGATTAGACTGGATTTCCTGTGTGGCCCCTTCCAACTCTTCTATGATTTTATACCACAAACACAGAAGTTTTCCAGGAGGTACTGTGGGTTCCAGAAGTACTCACATTCCCAATGGCATCCAGTTCTTTTGCTCAACATAACCACAGTCACCTTTAGTCAGCCAAGAGGAACCTGTCGCACACAGGGGGGACCTGTCAGGAGAAGAGTAGAGCAGAGCAAGTAATCTGTAACTTAGATTAATTTCAATGCCTTTCATTCATAGATCATCTGCTGACAGGCTGCACTTCTCATGTTTATTCATTATTCATATAATTTCTGCTAATTATCTGTCTACATGCAGCTTGTTGTAAATATTTAATGCTCAGAACTTGAACTTTTTCATTGGACACAGATGACGATGGGTTTCCGTTATCTGATTTGATGAACATAGATCTTAAGACTAGGGTTCCGTGGCAGAGCTGCTTTGTAACAGCCACTTAAAATGTATCTTGGTCCTGTGAGCAGACTCGTACGTTACACAGCCCGTGGAAAAATTCACAGCAGAGGAGCAGGAACGCCGTCAGAGCTCATTAACAATCTCAATGAATATTCACAATTTTCTGTTCTGAGCATCAGTCTCCTGGGTTTCAGTTCTGGTTCAGCTCATAACCAGCACTGCAATCCCCCTCCCTCCCCCACCACAAACAGTCCACTCAGCCACCAGCTCTCCAACACGGGGGTTTGCTTTGCAAGTGCCAGACACCAGAGCTATTGTCTAGCCTTGCAGTCCTTCCCCATAGGGAGGTTCCAGGGCCTCTCCAAGAGAAAGATGGCCAGAGACAGCAATACTGCTCAGAAGCAACAGAGGACTCCCACAATTAGTTGTGCCCTCTGCTGCGCGAAACGATTTGTTTCTGACTTACCAGAATGAGAAGTCAAGTGCTGGTCAGCCAGGCTTTTATTTATGCAGGAGTCTAATCCGGTTACATGAGAGTGCCTGCCTGCGCACTTGCAAAGCCCAGGGAATGTGTGGAGACAAAACTGTACAGCCCACTCCATTACACTGGATCATGTGTCCAGGCAAAGGCCCAGTGGGCGCAGCTGGCAGTGGTGGTGCGCCTGGGGCGAACGCGCAAGGGAGGGCAGGGAAGGAGAGAAAGACAAGACAAGTAAGTAAGTGTTAGGCGTTGTGATCTGGAGCTGCACGGAGCGCTCCCCACCATCCTGTGCTCATTCTCGTACCTGGGGAGGGATCCGTTTGAATCCCAGCACAGCATTGGGTGCCACCTCTTCCCCGGGCACTTACGCTGGACAGCAGCAGGAAGCGGGGCTCAGTTGGGCAGGTGAAGGAGTTAACAGAAGGGATGTAAATCTTCCTTTTCAAGTATTAGCTAGATGGGCAGCTGGTGCCGTAACTTGTACCGTTCTCTGAAACATCTGGTGCTGGCAATTCACAGAGGCAGGGGACTGGACTAGCTAGATCACTAGTCTGATCTGCTATGGCAAATCATCCCAATGACTTCACCGGAGTCCCAAAGACCCAGCCACCAGGACGACTTGTGTTGAACTGGACCCAGGCTACTAGCAATAAGCATTGTCTGTAGAGGCTGCTGTCCCGTCTCGTGGGACTATAATATCACCAAATAAGATGATCAATGAAAATCTCTTAAGGCCAGCAAAGGAGCAGAACACTCAGGAAAGGGAGCTGCTGCCGGTTACGCTCCCATCCCTTGGCTGAACAGGTTTGGGTGGCTGGCAGGCCGGTTGCTCATTGCAGGAGAAATCCATGATGCAGACCAGATGGTTTCCTAGTACGATTACTTTAGTCTCAAAACGTACATGTCTCCTGCTTCCTGAAATGGGGGAGGCAACAAACAGTGCAAAGGCAGAAACCTCTTGCAACACACCTCTGCTCAGGAGCTCCCATCCCTTGGCTGAACAGGTTTGGGTGGCTGGCAGGCCGGTTGCTCATTGCAGGAGAAATCCATGATGCAGACCAGATGGTTTCCTAGTACGATTACTTTAGTCTCAAAACGTACATGTCTCCTGCTTCCTGAAATGGGGGAGGCAACAAACAGTGCAAAGGCAGAAACCTCTTGCAACACACCTCTGCTCAGGAACAGCTGCCCTGCCTGTCTCTCACACTTGGTCTTTCCTTCCTGCCCCAGCCCCGAGCCAGTCACCAAAACACATTCCCTAGCCCACAGTGCTTTAACTGGTGCCACTTGGCTCTCAGAGGTAAATCTGGGCATCAAACCCCTACCTCCCTTTAGCACAAGTACTATGCTTTTGAAAGGAATCTCAGAGCTTTACCTGCCAGAATACTTTAGCTCACATAACCTCCTTAACAAGGGTGTGTGCACTCCGAGATCAACAGCCCCCACTGGGCAAGCCAAGCCATTAGCACCTTTCACGGTCACAATGGGAGCTTTTCCATCTACATTAGCGGGTTACATTATTTGATGGTTCCTTTGACACTAAGCCCTCATATTTTTATAGAAATGTGTTTTTAATAGGAATTTGCATAACTAATACACTTTATGCAAAACAGGACAAGTAATCTATCATTGTAATCCCCTGAATGTGTATCCTCTATTCTGTGCGTGTATAATTCCAGTGTGTGAAGTTAGAAATATGAAGTATAAACCTGTTTATTAATCTAGGTCTTCTCACGAAAGCCATTAGTGGTACTTAAGGAACTTAATGGCCCAATGCTCAAGGAAATGATCTGTGAATAGTCTGGTTTTTCTGGTAAGCCTGGATTGTGGCTGGTCCTACAAAAACAAGTTACTATAATCACGTGGTGCTGGAATCCATCTTGAATTCAGTATTTTTTCCACTGGGGGCAAGGAGAAGGGAACAAAGAGCTCCCATCTGGAGGAAATTATTTTTAAGGAATGGGAAGCAAACTATTGTTTTCAGCTGGCTTCACAGACTTCGCTCCACCTCAAGAGGACACACGAAAGGACCTGGAAAAAAAAAAGAACTCTAACAAGGGGAGAAGCTGTTAGATCCAGGTCAGAGAATAGATCAGCTTTGGCTTGAAGAATTTTACTTGAAATAAGAACTAGGATGAGAAATTTATGATTTTGACTATTTCTCTTAGTGTACTAGGCTTAGCGGGGAGTTTAGTAAGTAAGTGATTTTCATCTCTCTGCCATCACTTGCAACCACTTAAATCCTACTTTTTATACTTAATAAAAATCACTTTTGCTATTAGCAAACCCAGTGCAAATAGTTATTTTCCAGAGGGGCGGGGGGAGAGAGCACAATAGCTGTGCACTCTCTTTCAGAAAGCAAGAGAGCTCTCTCTGTGTAAAACTTGTATACAGAGTAAGATGGATTTATTTGGGCTCCTGGGTGCTATCAAGTCCCTATAGCTGAGCTGAGCATCTGTGTTACTCTGCAAGGGGGCTGTTGCCCTAACTCTTTGCCTTGGCTGAGGGAGACCAGAGTTTCTGGCCCAGCATGTCAGGGTGCTGGGGCGCCCTAAAGGGCAGGCAGGGGGGCTCAGTGGCATGATCAGCACAATCTCAAAGGGATCTCTGTGATCCAGCCTGCCACAGTAACGTCCTCTCTCTTTCTCACTGCAACCACAGAATGAAGGAAGAGCCATTCTTTCCCTCTCCTTGCTTTCAAATAGCTCCTGTAGTCAAGGCTCAGCAATTTCCAACCGCTCGTCTCTTAAGTGAGCTCGAGGTGAGGTGTGCTGAGATTACAGAGAAGTGAGAGCCATTATGGTTCCACACACAGCAGGGATTCCTTGCAAAAAGGAACCACATCTTAGCGCAACTGCAAACTGTGCACTTTCGCAAGCCTTCTTTTAATGTCACAGCCGCCCCCGGATCCATGGCAGCCTGCTGCTCCCTTTGCCAATAATCAATAAATAATGCTGCCATCGAATTCTTAGGTGGCGCTTTTCCATCTGCTCCTCCCGAAGTGCTGCACAAAGGAGCCCTGGGATCATGACCCCATTTTACAGAGGGGAGACTGTCTCCAGAGGCGCCCGCCCCCAGAAGCAGGGCTGTCAGGCTGCAGCATTCATTCCCCCACAGCAGACGGGAGGTTGGGTAAATGCTAAGTTACTGACCTTGGCATGAGTGAGCCTCTGAGGAACTGCACCACTGCAGGCAGCTCTGAACCAGTCAAACGCCTGCCGGGGGGGAGAGCTGGGATGGAGAGCGGAGCAAGAGGAGCACTGAAGGAGCTTTCCCACAACCCCCAAAGCCATAGGAGCTGTGGAGAGAGAACAGACCTGACACTCTTAGGCACCAACCTCTTGCAGAGGCTCAACGCATTAAGCACAAACAAGTCCCCATGTCCTGAGAGGTGTGATATTATGGAAAAATCCCAAGTTCTGCTACAGGCTAAAAGCAGCAGTTCTGCTGAAAAGGACCTGGGGACTACAGTGAACAAGAAGAGGGCTATGAGTCAACAGTGTGCCCTTGTAGCCAAAAAGGCTAACGGCATATTAGGAGGATTGCCAGCAGATCTAGAGAAGTGATTATTCCCCTTTATTTGGCATTTGTGAAGCCACATCTGGAGTATTGTGTCCAATTCTGGCCCCACCATTACAGAAAGGATGTGGACACATTGGAGAAAGTCCAGCGAAGGGGAACAGAAATTATTAGGGGGTTGAAGCACATGACTTACAAGGAGAGGCGGAGGGTATTGTGCTTATTTAGTCTACAGAAGAAAAGAGTGAGGGGGGATTTGATAGCAGCCTTCAACTATCTGAAGGGAGTTTCAAAGAGGATCAAGAGAAGCTGTTCTTAGTAGTGACAGAATGAGGGGTTGGATATTAGGAAAAACTATTTCCCTAGGAGGGTGGGGAAGCACTGGAATGGGTTCCCTAGGGAAGGGGTGGACTCTCCATCTCCAGCCCTATGATTCTAGGATTCCCTTATTGTACACAGGACTTAGGACAGGAAGATTAAAAGTATCATTTGGGCCCACAAGTCAGTAACAGCTGGGAATCCAGGAGTCCTCGTTTCCCAGTCACCTGCTTTAACCCATAGAGCATGCTCCCTCCTGGGGCAGGGATAGAGTCCCAGAGTCCTTGGTCCCGGTCACTTCTTCCAACCACTATGTGCCGCTCTCTCCTCAAAGGGAGCCCGGCAGATCTAAGAGCACAGATCACAATGCCCCTTGGAGAATTCTAAAAGCTGCTGCTTTGGTTTCTTTTCACAGGGACACAGCTGGAACTTACGAAAGCTTCGTTCGCTAGTTTTTGTCATCACTGGTGAAGCAGCTGCTCTCAGTAACGAGATTTCAAAGATTTCTCAGGAGAAGTATGTTCCTGTGAGGCAGTCCCGAGGGCTCGTGCAAAAGTGGATCGGTTTAGGTAAATGAGGAGCGAGAACTCTCCCGCATTACCTGGGCACCTGAGTCTAATGGGCTGCAGCTGCAGACTTCACCGGTTTGGGTTTTTTTAAACACCCCGTCTTTCCTGGCAAAGAGCAGGGACTCAACAACTAATTAGGCATTTCCTCCACTGAGTTCCCGCCCTGCCCCTCTTCCCCCGCTCAGATTTGTAAGGCGCTCCAGGGATTCTTTGCTTTTCAATGATTCTGGAGACAAAGTCACTTTGATTCAAGTCCTGGGTTTTTTCAAGGAAGCGAATCCACACGAGTAAAGCAGATTTGTGTGCGCGCATGCGCACACACCAGACCAAGGGGAATTTGGTGCCAAAAAATTAAAAATGCTGTGCATGGTATTTTAAAATTCTGCATATTTCATTTGTCTAAGGAAAACAATACACTCATGCCAGCTTCAATTGTTTGGGTAATTGATTTCAAAACACCCTTCAGTCAGCACATCTGACAATAGAGACAAAGAATTCAGGACATGTTCTGACAAAGATTCCTCACAAGGAACAGGAATGCAGAACTCGGCACGAGGATTCATTTAAGCCACGATACCGAACGGTATCTCCCAGACCCCTCAGAAGCAGGGCAAAGGGTTGGGGCAGTCTGGGGTAATGGAGGGACGGAAGGAGAGGAAATGAATTGCTGGAAAGGCCTTGGAGTGAACCTGGAGAATGGTAGAAGGATGGAATAGCTCTTTGGGAGGAGTGGGGATTGTTAGGGATTTGGGGAGCCTCCCCCATGCAGATCCTGACTGACCCCTAGTGTCTCCCATTCAGGCAACCACATCTGCTCCGTCCCTACATATCCATCTCCATTCTTGTATTCCCTGTGAAATGGGCACTTGGGCAGCCCCCCAGGAGAGATTCAAATGCCACCCAGCTGATTAGCAGAACGCCCACGGACAGCACTGTGTTTCTCTATCCATGGTGCACATCCACACATACCTGGGTGCACACAACATTTATTCCACACCCAGATGGAAAAAAATTAGAAGGAATATTGGTCCCTGCACCGCTTCTCACATTTAGCCTTTGCCTCAGTGCTGTCACACCACTAGTCCCTGTGCCACATCCTATGCCCCTCACTGGCCCTTTCTGACCCCTAATCTATGTGGGCCCCCAGCAGCCCAGCTGTCTGTCCCCCTCATATCCCAGGCCTCCTCCCTGGGCCCTGTGCGTGGGTGCTGTTTGGCAGCTGCCCTGGTGAAAGGGGTAGCTGCAGTGCCTCCCTGGCAGAATCTATTACTCCGCAGAGAAAACCCGTCTGTGGGGCCCATGGATTCTGCGCTTGTGCAGCGGCGCAGAACTCCCGCCCGAGTAAGGTGGACGCTCCTGTTAGCAACGGCATTCCCGGCCTACGGCAGGCCCTGTGCATTCTGCACTATGGAAGGTCGTAAGCAGCAAGCTCCGAGTCTCAGAAGGCCAGGCGAGCCCGGCTTCACCCAGCACTGGCAGCAGGCCGTGCCCAGTTTCCAGAGAAGCCCTAGCGGGTGTGGGGAGCTGGGGTTTTGCAACACTCAGATGGCAGCAGCGCTGACTCAGCACGCCCGGTTCCCTGCCCCAATGCACCTCACAGCTAACCAGTGATCAGCAGGGCAGCGCCAAGAGGAAGAGGGGTCTCTGGGGATGGTCCTTTAGTTCTTATGCACATGACTTGGCCCGTGCCCAGTTTCCAGAGAAGCCCTAGCGGGTGTGGGGAGCTGGGGTTTTGCAACACTCAGATGGCAGCAGCGCTGACTCAGCACGCCCGGTTCCCTGCCCCAATGCACCTCACAGCTAACCAGTGATCAGCAGGGCAGCGCCAAGAGGAAGAGGGGTCTCTGGGGATGGTCCTTTAGTTCTTATGCACATGACTTGGCACATTTCCACCCCCCCCCAGTCTCCTCCCAGAGCTACACATCC